ATAATTAATTGGATATTTCCTTCTATACTTTTTAGCACGTAACTATTTATTGTTAGCATTGTTCTTCCGACGTCTGATTTCTTTTTAATTATAGGAAATGCGTTTTTCTAAGGTACATAAACTTTTGGGATTGACTGTATAGCCAATACATCCTTAAATACGCTCGAATCGATGAATAGAAATTGCGGAATGCTTAGATAAAAGTGTAATTCGTTTTATTAAAGTTGTGTACTACAGTAAAGAGATTCTTTTACGTTACACGCGAGAAGAGCAAACAGGAGAATAATTCAGTGGCACCGTTTTCGAGGTGGATACGGCGTTGATATTATTTGAGCGAACGAGCGTTCATTACGAGCGATAAAGCGTGGAACGCAACCGATCGCCAGACGCATAGGAGCTGTCAATATGCTCGCGGAATCGATTCTCGTTCGACGTTCCGTGCAGGTTGAAAGCGATGATAAAAAGTTTCGCACTCGTTTCGATGGACCCGCGTCTACCTCACAGAATTTTCATCGATTTTTCTTAAAACCGGAGAACAATGGAAGTAAATACATTCGAGGGACTTTTATTCAATTGAAAAATGACACTTAATAATGCCCGCGGTGCATTCTCATTAATTCGACGCGGCGTCCGTTTTCTGATTTATTTATTTGAAATTAAAACCCGCGGTTTCAGTATAAAACCCTATAACCGAATACCGTTCTGAGGTATTCGGGAGGGAGGATTTCGTGTCTCCTTGGGAGGAGGACTCGAGGTTGATTGGAAATCAGAAATAATGCAAAGCAAAAGAACGGGATAATAAAGTTTGACGTATATTTAAAGTATAAAGTTGACTAGGTTGCTCGTTGTACGGTGAGATACGCGTTTACTTGACTAGCCGCGGTGCGAGTCGCTATAGGCAATCGGACTGACGATTATTGCCCGGATGGTGGCCCAATTAATTAATCAATCGCCGGTGCCCGCGTTACAATATATTAAATGTACGACTTACGGGTCGATGGCGCAATCGTGTCCAATGTACGTACGTACGACTTTCCTGATTCTTCGTGGCCACGCATTCACACTTATACACTCACTCCTCAACGTCTGATCCTAACAATACCGGACGGAACTCGGTTTATACTATTTATTCTCGGATAGGACAATTTACAATCTCTTTCGTATACTTGTTCGCAGTGATAGCTTTGATAATCTCTCGCGGACTTATTCCTACGGCAGGAGAATTCGAAGTGATCCGTCGGTTACGTGATCGATCGTCGATCCTCCGGTTACGTAACCGGCGGATCCTGCGCCTGCGTAAGGTCCTCGGACCTTCTCGAATATTCCTACGCGTGAGGGCATATGTAACCGGTACAACCGCGAAATTTGTACGGTTACAACCCATCGCAATGGTTGACCAGTCAACTCGACGTTTCGAATTCGCTAGAGGCAAATCGAAATTAATTCCACTGTTACACAGATCTGTTATACTCAATTAAACGATATTCTTACAGTTATCGTAAAATACAGTTTGAATTTCTCCTGAAATATTTCTAACATCTTATTCCTCATCTCTGATTTCTCTGGTATTTTTGTCTTTCTGCATTTTTCGGTACGAAGTTAAAATAGATTCTGGATTCATTGCACTCGTGTGAACTTTGCCATAACAATTAATTCCTTCTCCCTTTATTTCGGATTGTCTCGATGCATGATTGATACTTACATTTATAACCGCGTCAATAGCCGGACGTTCACCGGCTAGATTTGAATTTTATTTATGCATGAACGTCTAAACTCATGATCTACATTAGTTTATTAATACTCTGCTTATATTTTATTTGACGTCAAATAGACATGGTCCCGATCGACGCGATGAACGTGAGTACGAATATAGAAAAAGTTTCTCGATTAGATCGCAATTTTTAATCAATCGCTTAATGCAGTCGATCTGATCTCGATTTGGACAATTATTTTCCTTCGAGCCTGTCTGGCTCGAAGAGCAGTCTTTAGATTCGTCGAGACGATCGTAGCAATTAGCGTTTAATTGCCGCTGCTTCGAAAACCGTTTGGTCTGCTGAAACCGCTTCTGTCTGTTGAAAGATCCTTCGGTTCGCGGTGCTCGATGTAGTTTTAAGCGCAACAGGGACGAGACGGCGACGCTGATTCGTACACTCAAAATTTAATAAGCCCACGTCGTCTGGATGCAACCTTCGCCCCCATGAAATAATAATTTCATACTCGAGAGAGACCCTGGTGGCCATTTTAATTTCAGACGTTGAGGGCACTCAATCTGTTAACGCGTTTCACGGTGTCCTACCCGGGAATCTTCAGCTGTTTTCGTTCCGCAAGATCCTTCCGTAAATTCGTTCCGCAAGATCCTTCCGTAAATTCGTTCCAATCCAACCTCACTATTGAAAAGATTCGCAAGTAAAAATTCTGGGAACAGACGTCTCACGTCGATGCTTCATTATTATTCACTTTTGTGATCGTGATGTGCACACGAGACGAAATGTTCGAGCGAAGACTGTAAAACGTCGGACGTTTAACATGACAGACACCAACATTTAGTTTAACAATTATGACGACGTAATTGAATGTTCGGCCGGCGTTTTGATGGCAATTAGACGAGAACTCGAGTGTCCGAAGGACTTGCCGTAAACAGCGGGAAGTTTGAGGTTCGCGCGGGCAACGGAAGTTCGCCACTTTGCATTTTCTACCAGGCCGAGTGTTCACAAAGTTACGAATGAATTGGATGGGCCGGGGCTTGTTTACTACGTAGTCGCGGATGCTCGTAAATCAGGCTTAAGATCAGCGAAGATTAACTTACTATTGTAGTAATGAAATACTTCTTTGCCAGTTCGGTGTTGCTTGTTCGTTTCTCCTCGAAATTCTCGCTAGCCGGTTAATTTCACCGAACGTGACAGCGACAAAGTCGTTTGAGAAATTGTCGGAAACGTTGGATTTTTTAGTACTAGTCCTCAAGAATTTTGTCGATCATCGCGTCTCGACGATTGCCATGTAAATTATTGGACAGAGTGACACTGTGATGTTGGACGATCTCCTTTAGAATTGGATTTTGTTCTAGAATTGAATTCGACGTCCCCGTCGACCGGCGAGCGAAGTGAGTTCATCGAGAACGACGAATTAACCAAAGACACAGACGACGACGAAGACGCGGTCGAGGATATTCTGTACATGCGTGGCGCGTCGTTCACGATACACCTCGAACCGTCGCCAGAAAATTCTACGATCAATTCAACGAAATCGAACGAGGAGACCAGCCCGGCTCACGAGCGGGTCGAGCTGCGAGCCACGTCTCAGGCAAGTGATAATTATGCAATTAATTAATTTCGAAAGAAAGTTGAAACGAGTATTAAATACGCGGGACAGCGTTTGCTCTCTGAACACAGTTTATCAAATGCTTAATTAGTAATTATGATTAATTATAACGTATTAATCTGTGAATTTCGTCGAAGTACATGTTAAATTCATTTGATTACCCGTTGCAACTAATTTCGGGGATAAATATGATAGATATTTCAATATCTGTAACGTTATGGTCGTTGAACGTTCGAGTGAAATTATTTCAAATGTTTTCGAACGTTCAAAACCCTCTCATCGCGTTGCACGGTCACGCTTCTGGAAATCCCCGGCACGGCTCGTAAATCGCACGGCCTAGAAAGAATAGTTTTCACCCCAAACTGTCAAATCGTATTTCCGTTCCCTCTTTCCATCCCCCATGCCCTTCCCCCCCTGTCCCGCAGCGATTTCGTTTCTTGTAATTCTCAATGATGGATCTAACAGCTGTCGATTCGCAGTTATCGCGACGGGATTTCACCGGAAGCGTTCCGAACGCAATTTCCACTCGTTGTTTATTATCGTTTCTCCGTCATGTTTTCATTCCACCTGGAAAACTCTTTTTTTTTTTTATTAAGCCGCAACGAAAAGCGCGCGGAACATCGGCTCGTAGGTAATCGAGATAATTGGTAAATTGTTGCTGGACGTAGTTTCAATCTCGATTTTCGGTTCCTCGCTATAACACGGCACACGGTTACTGCGATCCGCTCGTGACCCTCGGGCATTCGGCCTGGTCATTGTTCGACGCGGAAATTTTGTTCCATTTCGGGCTGGCCGGCGGGGTCGCGGGGTGCGCGGCGTTCAAATGGAATGAGCATAAAATTATTTTTCACTCCGCCGACCGCTTTTGTCCAATCGGGCACTGGGCACAATGTAAAGTGTGACACAGATTTCGTATTACCGAAAAGATGCACGGATTAAATTGTTCAGTATGCAAATTTCTTTCTTGTGTTCTATTATTTTAATACAATACGATGGGAGTCGGGCGCGAGGAACGAGCAGACCGTGGATTTTTATGCGAGATAAACCATACGCTGTATCATCGGTCTATGAAACGTGATTTAATTATGAGTTCCCATGATTTCGTAGTTGTGATTTTTCTGTGACTGCATAAAATGTGCAACGGTAACTACATAAATTATGGTCCCTCGATTGGTACGTCGAAACTGAATTCAGCGTCTTTTTAAATTCGCTGTTTATTCGCGTGTGTACAATGAATGGTAACGTGAACGACGTCGGAGTCTTGAAATTCTCGCCATATTCTCTGCCGAACCTCCGGTTGAAGAACCGGAAGAGTTGAAAAAAATAGAAACGCTGCTTTAAAAAGCTCGGCTGGTTCCCACGGATTTCCAGCCCGGTCTTCCGGCTAAAAACGTCGCGACGCGTGCAACAGGTCCTTCTCCAATCCCTGTCTCTTTTCTGAACCCTAAAAAAATAATCGTCCACCCTTTTCCCGAAAATTATGAAGAAGTCAAACCAGACGTCTTACTTGCAATTGTAACACAAATTCGAATTATCATCAGTTTTCACAAACCGCCGACACTTATTTCGTGATAATAAATCGGAGCATTTTCCGACATAAAATTTAATAACGAAGGAAACAATTGAATTTTAATTGTTTCGATCTTTTGCTCCTTTATCTCCAGGGCCCGAATTTTGAACAGAAGCTGCCCTCGACGATGGAGAGCATAGTGAGCACGGAACCCGCCTGTTCCTTAGACTGTGGCCCGGCCGGAAACTGTTACATAGAACAGAGCCGGGGTGACGACGTCGACCTCGTCGACGACGACGGGGACGACGGATCAGACGAGACCTCGATGGCCATGGATCTCGAAGGGAACGACGTGGCTCCGAGACGAAAGCAAGAGTCCTTCAGGCAACGGTGTCAATGCCCCCTCGGTAGGGGTGGCGATCGATGTCAGCTCGGTGAGTGATTTTTCAATACCGACCCTCCCCGTAGGTTGTTTCATGACGCGTGGGCAACTTTTAATTACACAAATCGAGTACACGAAGTATTTGTCATCTGCAGAATTATAAGAATCGATGTTTAAAAATGAGACCTTATTATTTATAATGATAGCGCAGAGAAATCTGAACTGATATTACAAAGTGAATTCCATATTATATTCATTCATGATTTCTGTGGCTTATTCATATTACTTGAAACGTTGCCCACGTTGCAAAACAGCCTGTACAAATCTAATTCGCGTGTATCGCGCGCGTTCGCGAGTTTGCAAAAGTACCTCGGGAGAAAAGAGTTCGTTGGCATCGAGGTTCTTGGACGAGAGCCAGTGCTCTCGACTCGAATCCATCGGTGTGTGACGATTCAGGGATCGATCGACTGAGATTTCATAGGGGAGATGTATTCAATTATCCGACTGGGTCCCCTTCTCTCGCCGAGGGTTCAGAAGGAATTATACTTAACCCGATTCATGGTCGTATCCGGTTCTTTCATCACTCTTCGTGCATCGAGAGTACAATAAAATTTCGGTAATTAATTGCCAGTTAATTCATATGACATACAGATACATTGGCCGATGGCAGTGAACTTAATAGATTGCTCTCTGCAGATCCAATTTTTCTATGACTGGCCAAACGCGATCTAAAGTATTGTGGAGTCTGAATAAATTAAGATAGTAATAAGGATGTTTATATTAGTTTGTAACCTAAGATCGGGGCACTTGGGATGTAAACGATTTGCAGGCAAGCGGTGATGGCTTGCAGGCCTGAGTCCCAAGCTGTTGAAGATAGTGTTAAGTTTATCGTTTAGGTTTTGGTGTGAGTGAGAAAGTAAGAAAGGGATGATAGGGAATGTGAGAGTTGGGCATAAAGAAAAGTGGCAGTGTGGCCAGTGTGGTTGCGAAGTTCAGAGAGGACATAGCGTAGCAGAGTCGTGAACTAGTAAATCTATATTGTTTAAGTGAACATTTTATTTAAGTTTATCAAATATATACATATATACTATATCCTTTTTGTTATACCTTATACGATCGTCTTGATTTCACGAAACCTTCTAATCCCACAGTATTTTTTAAAAGATTTTATGACGTTGCTTCTTCTCGTCATTTATGTACATGATACTAAATCGCCGCATGGAATAGCTTTAGTTCCGTGAATAATGTGAGTGTTAAGGATCGTATATGTATAGAGAGAGATTCAGGGGACAGCTCATCAGAGCCGATGGGTGCCTTGTACTGGCCTAGTTTGCGGTATGTGTCACGTGATTTTACGCCACCGCACGCGTCTGCGAATTGCAAATTCCGAGACCTATCTATCTACCCACCGGCGGTTCTCGTCCGGATTTAGTACAACACTTTGATCTTAGAAGCATTACTCCTACCTGGTGACACAATTCAATTTAACGCGAGACCATTGGAATTTCTCCCTGGTAACGAGAGTTTAGCTTCACTTCTATCCAAACGTTTCATTTCGCTTTATTATTTCATTTAATTTTAATTAATAAATCCCGCAATTGTTTTTAATTGAAGGACTCTCGCAAATTTAATGTTCTGTTTAAACGTTTAATCAAAATTGTTCCTCAATTCCCAATGTTCACTGTACGTATAATTCACATGAATCCTATGTACAATGCCGATCCGAGAACGGATTATCAGGCTGGAATCGTTACGTCGCGTGTCTCACTGCGAGACACACGGCTTCCTTAACGTAAACCAGAAACCGTCGAACCGCGTTATGCCGGAGATACACGGTAGTGTTATCGTCTCGAGCCATAATCCCGTCGACGAATTGTATCGCTCGTCTTAAAACGCGGTATCGTGAAATTAACAGCGGCTCAGCTCGTCTTGACTGCCGGAACAGCTTCCCGGCTTTAAGCTTGACGCATGGGACTCTCGCAACGCGAACACTCGACCCCGTTGACAGAGGCGTGCCTCCCATCTCACGGGATTACAGCGTCCTGTCTTTGTCGCGATTCCATTTCGCTGATACTAATCGAAACGCGTCGAACATTTTGCCAAGGTCCGAAGTAATAGCAGCTGCGATTTATGTCACGAACTCTCGGCGTTTTCAATCTTACGATTGAGGCGTGAACGAAGATTCGGGGAACGTAAATTTATGATCAGTATTGAAAGACTGCGTGACATTGTAAGAAACGATTCGAGAAATTATTGAGCAGAGTTTGAAACAACTTTGACCCGAGCTCGGATTCGACGTCTGGCAAGCACTTGGAACTCGGCAAACAGAGGCGCGTCTCGGTTTAAGTATTGCCTCTTGATAGCGTGCCAGCGAAGCAAGTATTCATCCCCCGAGACAAAAACTAGCGTAGGCTATCTGTAGCAATTAATCTCCGCTATGTGCTCGCACGCAGTTCGAGAGGAAATCTTCGAGCAGGGACAGGGATTAAAAAAGATTGCCTAGCTCGACTGTGGCTAAGCTTCTCTCCCGTTCCACGCAATCTCGCGTACAAGGATTTTTTATTAAATGCCGCGTTGGCTCCTGCGGGTGTACTTCTCGGATTTATCACTGGAAACTACTGTGATCATGCTTCTCGCCGTTTCGACCATTAGAATTTGACTCGAACGAGTCTTTGTCGTTTCTATGTGCATTTAGTGACCGATTCTAACTTTGTTTTCGTGTCAGTCGAGTTAAGGCCAATATTCATATTCACCTCTTAGGCACGGCTGAATTTTGCGCGGGGCTGTTTCTCTGTACGGCAGAGTTCAACGCGAATTACGTGTAAATGATACGGCACTGCAATGTGTGATGGATAATACTATTCTTTACACGAGTACATTGGAATGAAGTGTTTCATGATTAAATTATAATTTTTCTTAAAGATATGAT